GTCCAGGAAGACTATGTCTACTGCTACCCCTGCATCTAATGATTTGGTGATCTGATCGTAAAAGGCCATTAGTTCACTGAATTCACTGAAATTATTCACGTGCTTAAATTCAAGTTTTGCTGAATCAGGACTGGTGTACTTAGCATTTTGCAGGATTAAATCATGAAAAGAACCTTGGTTGCAAAACAGATGATAACAAAACAGGTTTGTCCTTTGAAAATGTTCTTTAACTTCCCTTGTTTCACCAAGAATTGGTGTAGGGAAGCTAGATGCTAAATTCCTATTTAAAAGTGAATGCTGTGCCTGGAATTTTTGGACATTTACACTCATACCAACCTTTTCTTTTATTATCTAAACAGTCTATTTAAAAGAGATGAGGTGAAAGAATGGTAAAATGGGCTTGTGCATAAAGTAAATTGACAGATTATCTATCCTGTTAACTTATCTTAGAATGTGTCCATTTCTTTTGAAACTATCATGGTCGCCTACTGAAGTGTAGGTATACTTCAGGCTGGGAGAAACTTGGAAAACTATCAGAAGCAAGCAGGTTTATTTTTAAATAATGGTCAAATGCCTAATTTGTCTTCCCTGGATCCTAGTTTTGATTCTATGAGATGCTTTTGTTCGGCATGTGGGTTTTTAATAAAAATGCATTTTATTCTTTTTTTTTTTTTTTTGAAAACATTAACTTTGCTTATGGACACAAAGACTACATTGTCTAGACCAGTGGGGACCAACCTTTTTTTGTCAGGCATGCCACAAATTAGCTTTGCATCCTCCCTGAGTGCCACTTTTTAATTCTTTTTCCTTACCTGTTCTGCTGCTCAACTTCCTGCTCCTTGCCTTGTGCTCCCTGACTTAGTTGCTGTTCTGCTTTCTGCTCTCTGTCCTATCTGCCACTGTGCTGCTTGGCCCCTCCCAATCTGCTGTGTGCCACCCACAAAGGCTACACATGCCACTCATGACACCTGTGCCATAGATTGACCACCCCTGGTCTAAACCCAAGCATGACATGTCTGCTGCTACTTCTCTCTAGATATAGCTTAAGGAAATTAACAAAGTAAAAAATACCATATATTTTATTTGAAAATGAAATACCACTTTGTCTTCAAAAATAAATCAGAATATACAAATTGACTAATTTTATTATTGCAGGTGAGGGAACACCCTTTATATCATTTAATTAAAGCACAGACACAAAAGAAGATGGGAGAAATATCAGAAGCTGTTAAGACCTTGCGAATGGCAAGAAGTTTACCTGGAATGAGAAGATCTTCAGCTTCCTCAAAATCAAAAGCAAAAAGAATTGAAATTGATGCAAGTGACCGAGTGTCTGTTTTTCTTGAATTGGTAGATGTACATTGTTTGAATGGAGAGCAGGTATGGCAATCAAGTTTAATAAGAGCTTCTTATATTCACTTATTTCATTAGAAAATCTCCTGAACTAGCCCAGTCCAAAAAGGTTTTGATTTATTATGGGGAAATATAAACTTGGGATTATGGCTGCATGGACATAAAAGATCTGAATGTATATTAATACATGCTTTAAAATCCTAAGGGGGGGGCCCCCAAAGTCTTGGAATTCAGAATTTGTATATGCTATTTTGCCTTTTCTTAGTGAAGATAATTTTGATAACTTTTTTTTTTTTTGAGTCTGCAGTGCCTAAAATGCTTCCTTCATTTTATCCTAACAAGGGATAACTTTGAAGCTGATAAGCAATAAGCTAAGACTTACGTTGCTGTCATTAGCTGTACTGAAAATACACATCTGCTTACTCAGTGTTGTTGGATTTTCAGTACCAGTTGGATTCTGGTATTCCATTTTTTTAAGGTATATTCCCTAGGAATAAACACTGGTGGTATACTCCTACACATGGGACTGTAATTATAAAAGTATTCATTCATCTTTCTGATACTTATGTTAAGTTTTTCGAGGTCAGATGTCTTGAAGTAAGCTGCACTTTTTCTCTAGTGGTCAGCCATTTATTTGGAAGGTAGCTCCCATTGGCTATAGTAACCATTTCAAAATTAACAAAAAACACTTATTTTATCCATTTACAGCATGAAGCTGCTAAAGTACTGCAAGATGCTATTAATGAATTCTCTGGCACACCTGAGGAACTGAGAGTTATGATTGCTAATGCAGACCTGGCCCTTGCACAAGGAGATGTAGAACAAGCCTTGACCACGCTCCGAAATATTACACCTGAGCAACCTTACTTTGTACAAGCCAAAGAAAAAATGGCAGACATTTACCTTCAGTACAGGAAAGACAAGAAGTTATATGCAAGCTGCTACAGGTAAAAGTTAATGGTCTATATTCCATTGCTTTTCCATGTGTTTTTAAAGCCATTTAAACCAGTGGCTGGCAAATGTTACAAGCCACAAGGTGGAACAACTGCTTTGGTTCAGTGCAGGATAAGTGGCTTCAGTGGTGCATAGGCAGTGGGGGGCTTTCCCTACTATCCAACTGGGTGCAAGCACAACTTCCAAGGAGTAGAGAACTGTCCTGGGACTTGGCAGCTGGAAGCTATGTCCACACTACTGCCACTTCTTGCTGTTCCTCTTCCCCGCTTCCCCCCCCCTCGCAGCTGCCCCCATCCCACAGCCTTGGGAGGGCAGGGAGAACCAATGGCAGCAGAGGCACAGCTGGAAGTTGCCTGGCCCTAATGTAGCTTTTCACTGCCAGTCTCCGGCATGCATGCAGACTCAGACACAGGCATAGCTTTCCAGCTCCACAGGCTAGAACTAGTGATTGATCTGGCTTGCAGGTCTTACGATGCATTCAGTTGAGTGCTGTAATGACAGAAGTAAACATCAGAAGAAATGCTTCCTGTATGAGTAATAAATTTTAAACTAGAAACTTGTTCTGAATTCTAATGAATATTTAGAGTTCTTAAATTTTTAAAATAGTTTGCTTATTTGCTTCATGGATTAAAAAATTCAAAACTCCTGCATGGTTTTCTTATAGTAATTTTGCTAATGTTCAACATGGATATTTTGAAAAAAGCAGAGATTTTTTTTTCATTTTACAGTCCTCTTAATTGATGTATGTTATGTGTAATTGACTAAATATCCAAGATATTTAGGAAAATGAGCACATACATATTTTAAGTGATTTGTTATGAGTGTACCAAGTCAGCAGTTTAACTTCCATTCTTATGTGATATCTAGCAATTACTATCCTGTTGCACCACAGTGACCTATACCATGCTTGAATAGATAATTGGTTTATGAGTCTTGGGTTTTATTTTCACATGATGCCATGCTCACTGTATAAACTCTAGGATTTTGAGGATGGGCATACAAATTGATAAAAAGAACTGTGGTGCTATAGGCAACATATACTAATTGTGAGCACCTTAGGACTGCCCCTTTTCAAATAGTATTTTCTCCTGTTTTAAGAATAAACTTTCCTTCCCTTTGCTAAGTCTTAGGGTGATTGCTAAAAGAACCTGTTCCACATGAAATAGAAAATCTCACTTTCTTGCCTGCCTTCCTTTGTGAACTTTGTTTTTTTTTTCTCATGTAGAAATCTATCCCCATCAGCTTCCTGCTGCTCTCAGCTGTCCAACCTTGATTTTTTTTTTTTTTTTTTTTTTTGATTGAGGAAAATGGAAATGACTCAAAGTGTTTGCTGAATAACAAACGGTTTATGGCTTGAGTCATGACTCCTGATGACTTGCAGTCCAGCTCACCTGCATGCTACTGACTGATCTTCCTTTCTGTTAGTTCACTTGCTACCTGATCTCAAAGTGGTCAGGAAGCTTAGCTATGCAGAGTGTGCCACCTGGAAACTGGCTAGTCTCTTAAGGATTTATATGATAAGTTAAAAGACTACACAATATTACTATTAATGTGGTTCTCTGAGCCATGTTTGAGCTTCAGAATCACTCTGGTATTTGACATGTTACTTGTTGGAGTCCGTGATGACTTGGAAGGAGTTGAGCAAGTTGTTAAATGTAAAGTTGAGATCCTAGTTGATTTTGTGGGACATCCTGCACAAAAACCTACACTAAAAAAAATATATAGATATATATCAAATGCATAGTCATTCTTTAAAATTTTCCCCTTACTGTGTAAACAGACATGCAAGCAAGACCAATGCTTTTGAGGATGTGGTTAACAAATTATTTTATATTATTATTATTATTAAATATTGTCTGCGGCTACTGCATTGTCACCATAAAGAAATGATAAGGTAACTAAATTATATTTTGACAAATACTAGTTTCGAATAGAATTCAAGCTTAATAAATCTTGTTGCTTTGAACTTTCAGGTTTTATGTAGTAAGTTGTTCTGGTATATAAATATACGCCAGGAGCTAGTACTTTATTTTTTTTAATGCATAGGCTAAATACATTTCCAAATTACTTTTTTTTAATTGTGTGTAAGCTTGTCTGTTGTTCATCAAATATATTTCTCGTATTAATACGTTGTGTTTTATCATGAAGGTTCCCAAAGTAGTTTATAAACTGTCCTGAATAGGCAGAAATCTCATATCCCACAATGGGAAGAAAGAAGAAGCATATCATAGCCAGTTGAAACTTGAGAGTGAATTTAGGTAGGCAGAATATAGCTAAATACCCAAACTGGAACTTGGCTAGGATTTAATGGAGCTGTTCCTGTAAGAACTGCCACAGATGTTATAACAACCTCAAGTGATCAGGACTTCTCTTTCTTTTGCATCAACCTCTACAGTATTATGGCTATAAAGAGTCAAGTAGTATACTTGCTCTCCCTTAACTTTCCCATAGGTTTAAGTACTATGGGAAGAGTCTATTATTACACTTCTAAAAAGTGTCTGTGTAAGAACAGAATACAAAATGAATAACAGGATCAAAACTTTTGTTTTTGTTCTATTTTTAAGTTTGTTGTAAGGAAAATGGCTTATTATGTAGAACAGGAGTCACAAAGTTATGGCCCACTGAGGTGCATCATGCAGCTCACAGGGTTCCCCACAGGTCTGGAAATTAAAGCTGCTGTTGTTCATCCTGCCACCAATTTTCCACACTTCTGAGGAGCCCCATGGGCCACCACTGATATAGGAGTTTTAACTGAACTTGAAATTCAGTTTCACAGTGATATAGACTTGAGCTACACACTGACTGTAGCGATGTTGCAACGGAGTAGCACTGGTGATTGAAAGATAGAAGGGGTGGAAGAGGGACAGGGATCACCAAAGCCAAGGGAAATCTAGGAAGGAAAGAAGAGTTGCTTTATAAGCTCAAAGGTAAAAAGTTAGCTCTTTTCCCTTCTAGCTATTGGGGGAAAAATGCTTACAGGAAGGATAGGAATGTCTAGAAAAACATTCTAAAGTGGGGAGGAGACAAAACTCACTCAGTAAGTTAGGAATTGTAGCTTCCCATATGTTTTAAGTATACTATAGTCCATTAGTCTTACCTCGGTCCTGGGGAAGCTCTTGGAGAATTATCCAGGAGCACATCTGTGAGGGACCAGCAGGGGAGATTATGCTTGGGGGCAACCAAAATGGGTTCATTAGAGGCAGGTCCTGTCAGACCAACCTGGTGGCCTTCTATGACCAGGTCACCAAATCCCTGAATGCAGGTGTTGTGGTAGATGTAGTCTTCCTGGACTTTAGGAAGGCCTTCAACACTGTCTCTTATCCCATTCTCATTAAAAAGTTGGACGACTGTGGTGTCGATGCCTACAGAGTCAGATGGGTTGCCAGTTGGCTGGAGGGCTGCACCCAGAGAGTGGTGTTGGATGGGTCATTTTCGACCTGAAGGGATGTGGGCAGTGGGGTTCTGCAGGGCTCGGTCCTCGGGCCTGCGCTGTTCAACATCTTCATTAGTGACTTGGACAAGGGGGTGAAAAGCACCTTGTTCAAATTCGCAGATTACAGAAAGATGTAGGGGAAAGTGGGCACACCAGAAGGGAGGGACAAGCTGCAATTGGATCTGGACAGGTTACAGGGGTGGGCGGATGAGAAAAGGATGGGATTCAACACTGACAAGTGCAAGGTGCTGCACCTGGGGAAGAAGAACCAGCACCATACCTAC